CGAAATATATTCGGACAACGGCACCAATTTTCAAGGCGTATACAATACGCAGCATACAATAACAACCGCAAGCTAGGTGACGAGGCGCTGGAGACATTCATGGTGGAAGCTGAAGCGGTCGTGAACAGTCGTCCACTCACGTATCTACCGCTTACATCGGAGGAATACGAATCCCTTACGCCAAATCATTTTCTTCTGGGCAACTCAAGTGGTGTGCGGCAACCTGCTGTTCCGGCAACAACTCCAGCGGACGCTCTACGAACCTCTTGGGGCCAGATACAACAACAGCTCGACGTGTTTTGGAGAAGATGGACCCGGGAGTATCTCCCAACTTTGACTAAACGTCCGAAGTGGTGCGGTGAGGTGAAGCCGATAACTGAAGGAGAACTGGTCTTGATAGTTGGCGATGGGAGAAGGAATGAGTGGATAAGAGGTCGTATAGTCCAAGGAATCAAGGGGGTGGACGGAAGAATACGGCAGGCTATGGTACAAACTGCGAGGGGGCTAGTGCGTAGGCCGGTGGCTAGATTGGCGGTCCTAGAGGTTGATGAGATGAGTAAAACTGAACCTGGTGGCCAGTGTTACGGGGGAGAGAATGTTGGCACTGGGAACACTGCTTGTGACGGTACAGTAGCGGCTCGGGTGAACTGTCAACAAAACTGTCACAGTGACAGAACCGAAAGAGAGGAGGGAGATAGAGTGTGAAGATCTACATTGTCTCGTTTATTGTAGATCATTCTATTGAAGTCAATCTATTAAACGTGCTATCAGAAGGTGAAAAATTAATAAAAAATGGATTAAATTTGCTTAAAATTACATTAAAATATTCCTTACAGCTAATAATCATACCGCTAAACCTATTATTGAAATTAGTTGTTCCTACCTAAAGTTTTATACAAATTCATGCAAATTGTAAGTTGTTAATCTAAATTGTTTGAACCTAACCTAACTTACCTTAATCATGCAGGAAAAAGTGAAAAGTATTGTCTAGTACAAATGAATTGTCCTTAAAACTACACATGCACGATTTTTGTAAGTAAAACTACATCTGATGAACTACTCTAAAACTAACGTAAAAATAAACTTACAGCTAAAGCTACGTTACAACACAAATACCGTCGTTGTGATTTGCTCGAAGAAATCGTACCGTGGGACATATTCGACCGACAAACATTGGGAACAGGTTTGCTTCTTCTAAGCTTTTGAGAAGTTCGTCAACTATTTATTAAAGACCACAATATAGGTGAAAGCACACCTGCCTGAGGACACCCTTTTACAGCTCAAATGTTTATGGATGAGCTTCCAAGGTTTGCTGAGATTTCTCTTTTAGAAAGCATCTCATTAATCCACTTAACGATACTTTGGTTGAATCCATGCTTGAACGTAGAGTTTTTAATTGAGTTATAAGACGCATTATCAAATGCTTCTTCAATTTCAATGAACGCTGCTAGTGTAATTTCTTTTGATTCAAAAGATTTTCTAGTTTTGAAACAAGCATATGAAGAGCTGTTTGTTGATTTACCAGTTTGATACGCAAACCGATATTTACCTAAAGGAATTGTAAGTAAGTAGGGTAGAGAACTACTTCGGCCTAGTCGACCATTTTGGGCCTATCGAGCAGAAAACTTCAAATCAATACATGATTTCAGAATTAACAAGTCAATTATGCGTTTGGTACGGTACTTTAGTTAATAAGCTACCGAACGAAGTCAATGAGAACGCGTGATATGTAGGTTTTCATCCATTATTCCCAAAAACAAAAGAAGCGCTCTGATCGAATCAATTTTTATCTTCATCCGATAGGCCGAAGTGAATTCATTGGCGTTTCAATGCGTTAGGCCGAGTTTGGCGTCAATAAGCAGTGTTAAACTTTTAACAATATCTCAACGATTAGTTTCCTTTATCAAATCTTACGGTACGTACGGAAAGGTAAATGAATTTGGAAGCCATCGGTAATAATAACATTCCGTTTGGTGCTAAACTGCGCTAGATTAAGAAAGACTAAGTACGGGTTGTGCTTAATAGGCCGAAAATGGGGTAGTTAACCCTACGTTGATTTGATATGCTCATTTATTATTTTCTCCATTATTTTTAGCATGATGGACTGATCGGCCTGAAGGATTTAGATGCAGTTTATCATTTTAATTAGCCTTCGGAATAAATATAACCTATACATGATGCCATGTTATCGGAATATAACTTAATCTTAAGCTTGCACTAAACAAGCCTGTTAGAATGGGTGTCAGAATTCCTTTTCCTTTCTGAAGTAGTACTGAAAAAGTTACGTCCCTATCTGGTGATTCAAAAGGTGCAAAAGAATCAATCGCCCATTCGACTCGTTTTCGGTAAAACATTCTATTGGCCAGATTGCGAGCGTCTTTGTTGGTAATCTCTAACCCAGTCGATTAATTCATTGTTGTCTGAAGTTCCATCCTGTTTTTTTTTCAGAGCCAGTTTGCGCTGCGTGTATTTTGGTCTTCATTTATGTTGGTAATTGAACATGGAGATTGTGTTTTCATCATTATTTCGAATGTTTCTTCCACATACATAGTAAAAGTGCCGTCCTCATTTTTAAGAGTTCCTAAGCCAGTTGAATGATCTTTTGAAAGAACTTTTTTGCAATCTGGCAGCAATTGGAGTATGTTTAATGTTTTCATATGCATGCCTCCAGTCCTTCCTTTTAGATCTTCGGATTTCCTTATTATAACATGTGAGGGTTTCCCTGTATTGATCCCATTGTCTTGTTAGTTTTGCCAGGTTAATTAGCTTCCGGGATTTCTTGCAAAACTTCTCTAAGGTTTTATTCCACCAAGGAACATCCCTTTTCGTAGAGCGTTTCTTTGCAGGACAGCTGTCGTAATAAACTTGTTGGATCAAACTAGAAAGCTGTTGAGAATTTTTCTCAAGTTCAGTGCATGTTTTTGAACATTTTCTAAAGTTATTGACTCCAACTATAAGTTTTGAGTTGTATTGCTCCCAGTTATGTCGTTTTCGTTTTTGCGGTGCAGCACCGGTGTAGTGTAAGCAGGAATAAGCGCGAGTCTTTGACAGCTCAACTTCATTAAAACTGTTTGTAAACAAAGGTGTATCCTATATCTACAGCTTAAATTATTTCGGTGTACGGCAGTGTGGCACCGGTGTAGCTACACCGCAAAAACGAAAACGACATTAGTTTTCCTGGGATCTCTTTGGGGTTTCTTTTATAATACTCGATGAATGTAGAAAAACATGTGTGCATCTTAAACAATTTAGTTCAAGAAATATGAACCTTTGAATGAGTATGTAAGCAATAAGAGGACAACATTGCATTTGTGATGGCTATATCATTATATTATACTATCAAAGTTACCCCGTTTTACAGTACCTAAGTTAACTGAGTGTTTTTTTCCAGCAAAACCTTCGCATATCATTTTGCTCTATCGGTCCTCCCGATTCATCTTCAAACAGAGGCATATTATGTGACTTTCATGATGCTAAGGGGTAGCCATGTCATTACACCACCGAATTACTACAGTGCAGCAACATATATTATTACGCACTTAAGTCAACAACCCGCTCCAATGCACAGCAATTCGACGCAGCAGCTGTTAGCGTCCAACTTCGGATAGATAATTCCTCCGCCACACACCGCAAAAAGAAGCACGCGTTTCAAATTGATACCGCACTGCTGGCTAACCAGCAAATAATAACAATAATAATGGATTGATGTGTGGTCAAACGAGCCGAATGACGACACGGTGCTGCACGCATAAAATTCAAAGTGGAAATAAAAATGGGAACATTTCGCACAAAAAAAGAACGAGTTAATCCAGTCCCCGGATGTGGTACGCTAGTGTTTCATTTTATGTTGAGCAGAAAATAAAGAGCTTTTGCAACTCACTGCGCATTGTGGATTAGCTGGGTAGAAGCTGTCTCTAACTATGTAGGGGTAGTGCGATAGTAGTAAAACAAAGCCTATTAACAGTGCTGAGGGAGGACAGGTATGCCAGTCCGCGCAGCGATTGGATAAAAATCGATTTAAATTCAAATTGGTTTCACTTTTTGATTGCAGCGCATTGATTGTGTACGGTTTGTTACGGGAAGGGAAGTTGAAAGCCGGATGAAAAATGGCAGTTGGAGAAGATTAAAATTATGACGTTTTATGGCAAAGTTTACTAATATGTTACGTTATGTATACCTACATGCCAATAACTTGCTATCTTTAAACTTGATGCAACGAACATTAGACTAGGACTGTAGAGTCAGATCCAAATCGACCGACTACGACTCTCAATAAAACTAAAATCATATATGTACATTTTTGTTTGAAAAGGAGTCGGAGTTCGACCAGTAGAGACAGACTTATTTGTAATCATACAGATTGTTTTCCAATATTTTAATGACAGATTTTTCAAATAAACGGAATATATTTTATATTAGTTTTTATATTGATTAATTCTGATAAATAATCCTTTCTTCCTTTCGAGCAGCTTGAATTCCCAAGCCCAAATCGTATCAAAGTGAATTAACCATCGTATCTGTCACCATGTAACATGGTTAATTAAACAAAAATAAAGGAAAATTAGAGAAATCCGAACATCAGAAGTCCATTAAAAAGATTCGAATATAATACAATAATATTTTATTTACAGAAAAATCCTATAATTCCTATTATACAAAACCGATATCGTTAACCCATCTCCAGTGCGCTGGTCGTACCAAAACCTAGGCATCCTCCGAAAAGTGCACCATAGCAGATGGTACTCATGGCAAACCGGAAAACCTGCGGAGCCTAGTTTTCTCCCGGCTCAAATGCAACAACCGAAAGCACACCACAACAGCAGACGGAAACCTGTTTCTCCACCGTTTGACCGATTAGACCTGGATCAGAAGTAGGCCTCCCACAAAGCAACGACCGAAGAAACCGGATTCTAGCTCTTCACGAAACGAATGATCGTTCGTTCCTCCGCCCTATGTTAATAATACTGTGATGATGCCTTCCCCTATGTGCGCTTGCTTACCTGTGGGCCGCTGTTGTTCGGAGGATCGTCCATAATTTTATCGGTCTCCATTTTCATCATCTCGGTGCTGCTGTTGCTAGTGCAACTGCTGCTGCCGTTGTCGTCTATTTTGCTGGCTTGTATCCGTGGACCACCGAAATTAGGCTCGGTTAGCAGCCGCCTCCGCAGGAAAGATACTTCTGGATTGTAGAATTCCGAGATCTAGATTTCTAGCACTACGTAGATGGCCCTCGAGAATTACTATTCGTCACACACTTCGCACACTCGGGAATCTCCCTTTTTCGATGATGGGCTCTTTTTGACGACTTGGAATATGCTTCCCAGCTTCTTCACCCAACACGGGGCTTGGCACAAACACCAACGCAACGGGGGCACCGTTTTATTTTCTATTCTTTGCTTCCTTTCGCAATTCACACGCACGCACACATTCGCTCCGAACTTCTCGGATTGAACTTTTGTTGGAGAAAAGAAAAAAAAAAGATTCTTGCCAAGATATTATCGAAAAATATACTGCTATCACCGCACTTCACGAACCGTTGCTATCACGATACACCACTAATCACTGTGCACATGGAATCAGTAATAATCCTTTTTAGAAAATATACAGCTTACAGGGGGAAAAAGATTGTGCAAGAGAAACCTACAAAACAGTAGACAAAAAACTCCATCAGAATGACAATTTTTTGACAGCAGTCACTACCGCACCACTACCAGTGCAAGTTAGAACCGTGTCGTGTGGCTGGTCAGATATAGCACAAACACATTCGCACGCAGTGGATGGCACTCCACCGCCGCCGCCAATGAAGAGAAATCGCGGATCGAAGTTGCACCCAACGACGACGACCCAACACAAGAAGTGTAGGCCTGCTTCGTTTCGTATTCCTGCTCTTCCTCTTCACGCTCCTTACACCGACGACGACAACCCAGCAAATTCCATCCCGTCTCGTCGGATGGAACAGTGAAGAAAAATGGACGGTTTGGTTGGACTAATAGTTTTTGGAATCCATCACACAGTCACAGTCAAAAGCACTGAAAATCACTATCTTCCCCTCTACACCACCAAATGCGACCGCTCAATTTGGGAAAAAGTAGTGCACTTTGCTCCTTCTCAACACTGCTGCAGGCAGAAGTTTTACCGTACGAATGCAAGCAAGCAAACAGCACGCACGGAACAAACAGACACGATACGAACTGCACAGTACGAGTGACGTCAACGAACTGCGCGAACCAAACTCACTCCACTCCGTTCGGCTGGTGATCGTCAGCCAGTGTTGCGATATTTTTTTTTCCACATCATTTTGTATTATTGGAAGATTGCCGTAAAAGCTCAACGCAGATGTCGCCACTGCATGATGATGATAATGTTGACAGACTGCATATAAAATTCGTGAAAATTAGCGTTAAATCATAATTTTCATCAAGCCTGTGTAAAATTCTTCCAATATAACATTCGAATTGCAGAAGAAAACGTTTTTACGATCAGACTGATGTGCAACTTTGACTTTTCCAGTTGAACTTTCATAAGATATATTCATTTCATTTCGCGGCTCCAACAATGCTGCATCGTAAATATGATGTAAACAGAAGTAAATTGCTCAATTACTCAAAATAGAGATGATTTGTCATCTTGCTATCACTTTGAAGACCATCTTGCACCATTTTATAGTATGGTGCGTGTTGAGTAAAGCAAGTTCCGTTGCGTTTTCCGTCGAAAATTGTGAGCATCAATATGTTTGCTAACAAAAGGCCAAAATGAACATTTATTGAATTTTGGCGTCCTATACAACCTATCTCCATTACCACCAGCATGATACAACCTTTCCTAAGTAAATTCACTTAATTTCCACTTTCATCCTAGTGGAAATCGCACATATTCACCATTTTCCGAAAAATGCCGCTGCGCAGGAGGTAACCTCTCCCTGTGGGTGCAAATTTGTTATGCATAATTTTCCATGAAAACATCTCCGATCCATACCGAAATAATAACAGTTAGTTTGCAAACACATTTTCTTACACGATTCAAGCAAAAGTTTCCACGGGAAATTATTAGTTTTTCTTTATGTACCGATTTACCCCAAAAATCGTCTGTTTTACTTGAAGAATTTGGAAACTATCCTCCTTCTAGTAGTTCTCACTTCGAAATGTAGGTGGCGAAAGCATGGAAAAGTTTCACTGCAAGACGCCAATTGGCGTCTTGCAGTGAAACTTTTCCAAGATTTCGCCACCTACATTTCGAAGTGAGAACTACTAGAAGGAGGATAGTTTCCAAATTCTCCAAGTAAAACAGACGATTTTTGGGGCAAATCGGTCCATAAAGAAAAACTAATAATTTCCGGTGGATACTTTTGCTTGAATCGTGTAAGAAAACGTGTTTGCAAACTAACTGTTATTATTTCGGTATGGATCGGAGATGTTTTCATGGAAAATTATGCATAACAAGTTTGCACCCACAGGGAGAGGTTACCTCCTGCGCAGCTGCATTTTTCGGAAAATGGTGAATATGTGCGATTTCCACTAGGATAAAAGTGGAAATTAAGTGAATTTACTTAGGAAAGATTGTATCATGCTGGTGATAATGAAAATGGTTGTATAGGACGCCAATATTCGATAAATGTTCATTTTAGCCTTTTTTAGGTAAACAGATTGATACTCACAATTTTCGACGGAAAACGCAACGGAACTTGATTTACTCAACACGCACCATACTATAAAATGGTGCTAGATGGTCTTCAAAGTGATAACAAGATGACAAATCATCTTTATTTTGAGTAATTGAGTAATTTACTTCTGTTTACCATCATATTTACGATGCAGCATTGATGGAGCCGTGAAATGAAATGAATATAGGGGAAATGCAGGTAATGTCGGCCTAAGTGTCCCTAATTTGGGCCCATACATAAATTCAGCAATCAACAAAATTTTCAATAGCAACCAAAAATATACATTAGTACGGTCCTAATAACGCGTTCATCTAGATAAAATTGATAAATAGCAGACTTTTAGCGATGGGCCCAAATTAGGGGCATGTAGGCCGACATTACCTACATTTCCCCTATCTTATGAAAGTTCACCTGGAAAAGTCAAAGATGCACATCAGTCTGATCGTAAAAACGTTTTCTTCTTCAATTCGAATGTTATATTGGAAGGATTTCACGTAGGCTTGATGAAAATTATGATTTAATGCTAATTTTCACGAATTTTATATGCAGTCTGTCAACATTATCATCATCATGCAGTGGCGACATCTGCGTTGAGCTTTTGCGGCAATCTTCCAATAGGCTCTGCTGGATTTTTTAAACTTTTGGTTAAAATTTGACAGATGGAAAGTTATTGATTAACCCTGCTATCCGAGCATAATTATTGCTGAAACACAAGAAGTTAGATTTTGACAACCGTGACTGAGGCTGTGTTTCATTTGGTGAATTTCCTCTTAAATTTGATACTTCGAAAATAAATTAAAACTGTTGTTGATCGGTCGATTTTCGAGAACGTGTCTGTCAAAACTTATCGGTCAGAGATAAGTTTGCTATAGATCAGTGCACGGTCCCTAACCTCACTTTTTGCTCCCTATCATTTTGTTCTGAGTTAAAGAGATAGCAACGAATGGGAGCCAAAACAAACCACCCAAAACTGTCAAAGCTTACGGGTGAGAGAAGAGTGCGGCAAATCTTCGTGAACTGATCAATTCTAGCAGGTATATCTGAAAATTTTCCATCTGTCAAATTTAAGTGAAAATTTATCAAATGGAACACAGCCTGAGTTCTGCTCGAAAATTAGTCGATCGATAACACATGGGTTTACGAACATAGAAAACTTTCCAAATGTCACTAGGGCTTTTCCCGTACTTACATTCTTGCTTTTGCTGTAATTTAATTGCTACAGCTTTCTGTAAGTTGCTGTAAGAAAATAATATGGTGCAGAAAGCTCGCGAACATACTTCTGCATTTTGCTGTACAGGCTGCGTTCTATTTGATGATTTTTCATTTAAATTTAACAGATTAATTATTTTCAAATAAACCTGCTATATTCTATCAGACTTATTTCTGACAGATAAGGAATAAGTTTTAAAAAACATCATCATAGGAGAAATTTTAGAAAATTTTAATGTATTTTGAAAGTGTGGAAATTAAGTGGAAATCCACCCAATGGAACACAGCCTTAAGCTGAGATAATCTTCGCAATCTGAATACAGTAGATATCGACAGTGAGCATTCATAAGGGCGAATACGTGATGATCGATTCTCTTCATCGATTTTCTCTTTGCATTGCTACAGCTAGGCGAAACAATTTTCTAGAATTTGTTCAATGCAGAGTAGTAACAGGTTGTATTGGCTATCAACAGCAAACGCATCGAGAAACGTTAAATCTAGCGAGTTATTAACAAAAGAGAAAATCGACGAAGAGAATCGATCATCGCGTATTGGCCCTTATGCATGCTCACTGTCGATATATCTGAACTGCAATCCTAAATCGGTTTTCAGTATACAAGTTAAATCTGTATATCTGACATCACTGGCGAGAGCGAATGCCTTCCATCCGGGAGCTGGTGGTGTTGATTCAACTTCGAAAACGGTCTTTCGCAGCTTTTCGTACACGGTTAGAAAAAAGTACCCAAAATTAAGTTCTTTTCACTCATCTCGGCACTATAGTGCAGGAACCCAAAAGTAGGTAAAGCGGGTCAAAGTAATTTCCATTTACTTGTGTGCAATTCGTATGGAATTTTCCACAGGCTTTTTAACCAAAAGTATGTTAGTTGTACCAACAATCAATACGAAACTAACGATTTTAAATTGGCTCACTACTTGACTAGCTTATTGGTCCCAAGCAAACGATTAACTTATCCCATTCTAGTCGAAATTCTAGTACTACGCAATGTTTGTTTTGATTCGCTATGAAAGTTTGACAGATAAAATGAGGGGTTATTGGTTTTTCCTATGTTTCGAGGGGTGAATCGATTAGCTTGGGCCCGAAGAGAGTACCAGAGCTGAGCCAAAAAGTTGAGCACGTTATTTCGGGACCTTCTTGTCTTAGAGTTACCTCTATGGTAATTTCAACAAGTGTGTGCAATTCGTATGGAATTTTCCACAGGCTTTTTAACCAAAAGTATGTTAGTTGTACCCAACAGTAGGTAAACGATTTTAAATGGGCTCACTACTTGACTAGCCTATTGGTCCCAAACAAATCGATTAACGTATCCCATTCTAGTCAAAATTCTAGTACTACACAATGTTTGTTTTGATTCGCTATGAAAGTTTGACAGATAAAATGAGGGGATCGTGGATTTTCCTATGTTTCGAGGGGTGCATCGATTCGCTTGGGACCGAAGATAGTACCAGAGCTGAGTCAAAAAGTTGAGCTCGTTTCTTCGGGACCTTCTGGTCTTAGAGTTACCTCTATGCTATTATCGTCAGGGAGTAAACAAAGCCCTAGAGCACTAAAATTTGTTCAATAGATGCTCTGAAACACAATGTATCCACATGCCAAAATTGAGCTCTCAAGGACGTTGTTTATCCTCTGACGATAATAGCACAAACGAAGTGACAGACGGAGCGGCTCGAAAACTTTTGTGACGCACCTGCTATTGCAATTTTTCAGTGTACCACATGGCAACACCACTACTACTGGATTGTACCACATGGCAACACTAAATGTACTAGAATGTTTTGGTTCTATCTCTTTCACTCTACTCTAAACTGAAATGCATAAAAAAATGACAAAATGATACACTCTTTGCACACTGTCAAAGATCATATTGCACACAAAATCAACTATGTTCAAATCAAAACAAAAATACTAGCCCATCTGGTGGCTGATGGCACAAGCTTCTAAGAAAATTCTATTACAGCGAACCACATTATTTTAATTGATTTCTTCGCCAGTTAGTCGTCTGTCACTTCGTTTGTGATGATAGGTTAAGGTATTGCCGAAGCCGATAATATCGTACACGGTAAGAAAAAAGTACCCGACGGCCAGTTCTCCTTTACCTACCTTTGACTAGTTTGTCTCCTTTTAGGGGTATTGAGCGAGGTATTGAGATAAATACATAATAGTAACATAGAGGTAACTCTAAGACTAGAAGGTCCCGAAATAACGTGCTCAACTTTTTGGCTCAGCTCTGGTACTATCTTCGGTCCCAAGCTAATCGATTCACCCCTCGAAACATACGAAAAACCAATAACCCCTCATTTTATCTGTCAAACTTTCATAGCGAAT